GTGGATCAATTTTAACTTTAAGATTTTAATTTCACCAACGTGTCTCTTAAACTTATATAAGTATTGTCATCTTTATTTTAATCAGTTTGAATAAATGTCGTAATTTTTAGCTTCTTATAAACTTTTGTTAGAATTGTTTAAAAAATATTCTCAAGTTTGTTGAATAAACTATATAAAACACATGTTGGGATAGAAAATTGATAAGAATTCAAAGAAAAACGACATTAGAACTACTCTTTAATTTTATTTTTTTTAGATTTGTGAGTTTTGAGAGAGTTATTTAGTTATAAAAATATTCGGATGCATTAATTATATTTATTTTGTGCAAAACTCAAATTTTATTGAAATTCTACAAATTTTGTGAGATTTTACATTATTTTTTGTGTTAAAATTGGTTGTGAATTAGCGTGTGAACGGTTGAATGAAAATTGATATACCTTGTAAAGTTGATGGATAAAAATTGGTATTTATCCTAAATGTTTTGAACTTATACAATGATGTTTCATTTGCATTTCTTAAATTGAAAGACTTATATTATCGCTTTCAAAACATATATACAATTTCGTAAACATATCAATAAGAATAATATACGAGAAATAAAAAAACAAGTATTAAACACTCGCCTTTATTACAAATTGAGAACAAAATATCATGAAGCGAGAATGGTAAAATTAAACCCTCTAATTAAATATAGGTATGTAGATGTGGAATAATTTGCATAGTTATTTGGAGACTATATAGTAAAAGGAATGGGAATTTTTGAAGCATGTTCATGTTCATTGCATTTGTTGATGGGAGGTTAGAGATGGGTCGCGTATTGGCCAATTTTAATTTGTTAGTTATTTTTCATACCGCAACACGAACATGAACCTCTGCATGTGACTTTGCACATCATCTTTTCAATCGCACTCACATTCTGATTCTCAAATTCTCTGCCAAGTGTCAAATTACAGCCCTCTAATAATTTCAAATCAAAATATCACAAGTTTTAAATTTCCTAGAAATTTATAAGATTAATTGAGCTCTTTGAGGGAAGAGATTTAAGAATCATTGGTTTTCCAAAATCACCGTCCAAATAATTTTTTTATCATAGTTGGTAAATTAGAAAATTGATTTTAGAAATGTTTAAAATCACTTTAAATTGATTTTTAAGGGTTGATTTTGGAAAATCAATTAACTTAAATCTCTTTTTTCAAAATAGTAATTTTATATTTTCGTAAAATTAATTTTTTAATTTGCCAAACATGATTAAAAAAAATTGGAGTGATTTTGACAATGACAAGAGTATTTTTGACATGCTAAAATCACTCTAAGGTGTGTTTGGAAGTGACAGTAGAATTAGTGATTTAAGAATGATCGATTTCTCCAAAATCACCCCCTCGTGATATCTTAAAAATCAATCTGATGTGATTTTATGTTTTCCTAAAATCAATTTAAAAAGATTTTAAATTTTCTTAAAACAAATTTTTTAATTTGTCAAACATGAAAAATGAAACGTTAAAGCTTTCAAGTCAATAAACAAGGGGAGTGTTAAAATCAAAATTTACCCATTGACTTCTTGATAAGGTGTATACTTGTTTTTACACGAACTTCCAATTTTATCAAGTTGTACCTTGATCTTGGACATATGTTGTGATATTTACTGGAGTGTTTTAATATTTACCTTAAATTTTAATAATTATTACAACTTTTACCATTTGATAGATTTTAGGTTTGGAAAACCATTAAAAACGATTCAATTAATTCCAAAATATATGGCAAGTATGAAATTGATTGAATTTAAGAAAAAACAACATCATAGTTGTTTTTGGTGTTGTTAATTAAATTTATGAGTTCCTATAAAGTTAATCTATGCTTAATTAGGTTGGTTTCCATTGAAATTTGTGAGTTTTTTTATGTTGTTATTTTGTTAATTAAAATTAATAGATGAATTATAATCGAAGATAAAGATAAAATTGTAATACTCGTCTAAGATCCAATGTAATGAAACTGAAAAAATCCAGATGAAAATCAATTCCTTACAAAATTTATTTGTTTTTTCCCCAATATTTTGCATGGGTGTGACTCTTATTCAACCTAATAATTAAAAAAATAGGCTTAAAATTATATCTTACTTTTATTCATAAATTCCAACCATTATTTTAATTTAGTTTACGAATTTTCAAATGTTATATTTTAAACGTTGCACATAATTTTATTTTTTACAAAGGACACACAATTTTATTTTATTCACTCTTATATATATGCATATATATTATATAGAACCTAGTAGTTTAATATATATATATATATATATATATAATAAACTAGTCTAAAGAATTTAATAGGTAACAATTTACTTAAAATTTAAAATAGTTGCAACAATTGAGTGTATTGTGTGAAAAACGCATTTGATATGTAGTTAGATGTTTGACGTGTATGATTATATGAATCACATGTGTACAAAGATAAAAGGTCATGGAAATGTAAATGAGATGGCGGGCTGATGGAATCGATGCAATCATGTCAAAATTTAAGACACAATAGAATCGATGCAATCATGTCAAATATACGTTGTTGTGTTAAATACTATAGTGTCATACGTGTTAAAATATGTGAACTAAATCATTATAAGTTAAGGTTTAGAGATTAATTGTTACAAAATTTCAACTACAACGATTAAGTCAACATACAAAGTTCATAGACTAAATGTTACAAAATTCAAAGTGTGGTGCCAAAATTCAAGTTGCATACATATCCAAATGAGGTTGACGAATGTGATTCTTCCAAGCATGATAGACCTATGAAATGGAGCTAAATACCGATGTGGTGCTCAACCAAATGCACTTTAAAATTTAGGTCATAACTCATTTTGCGAAAGCTAAGTGGAGAGCAAGTAGTTGATGCAAGAAATTTGCATACATCTGTGAAGGAGTTCACTCCTCCTTTTAGAGGGGAGCGACCTACTATGCTTCCAATGGATTCTAGACGAGCGGTCGGACAGGTGATTCTTAGTTGACTTTGAGGATATTATGCAGTGCTATACCACAGGTGTTGCTTGCTAGCTGTCATGCCCATTGTTTGCCACGTGGCCTTCTTCCCCTAGCAAGCCCACATATCCTCCGTGGGGTTCGTTCACGTGTATGCTCTATTTTCACCCGTAACATAGAGAATAAAGAATATTAAATGATCATTACAATATATAAACGATAAACTATGACAATTGAATAAATATATACTGATATTCAAGTACTAAATTGTTATAAATCTTAGATAGGGATGACAACAGGGCACGACGAGGTCGAGGGCCATTCCCATCTCCGCCTCGTCCGTGAAATTTTGAGGGTGGGGATTCTCCGATATATATTTTCTAAATTTTATTTTTATTTTTATTGTTCGGAGAAAGATTTATAAATATTTAAAATTTTTAAAAGATATAATTTTTTTTAATAGAATAGTGTAAAATTTAATTAAATACCATTACAATGATTTAAAAATTATAAAAATATTTATAAAAAGTGATATATATAAGCATTATCATATATAAAAATATAAAAGTTAATAAAATATTATACGGGGTGGGACGGGATGGGGATTGGGGCTGGGAGATCTCACCATTGTCGTTCCGTATTCAGTCAACTCGTAGATTCTTTGACTCAATCAGATCGAATACCCGTAGAAATTACATATTTTTTTTACCAACCCTATTTAGATTATAAGAACTAAATCAAGTTTATGGACCACGACATTATTCGAACAAAAATACAACTACCAAGTACCAACTATGTTTTTATTATTGCTTTTAAGTAAATCATTTAACTTATGCATGCCACCGATACGTTGTTGTTTGTTTATTGGTGAAGAAACATTTGGACGAATAGTTCTTTAAAATTAAATTACATGCATTAGTTACGGCGTTAGTTTTCAAGCAAATTATTTTATTTTATTATTCTTTTTTATTCAATAATCAAATTACGATAAAACTTAAAAATAGTATAAAGTTTATTTAAAACAAAATTAAAATGATCACATGATAATTGCTCTGCACCTTCCATAACTGGTGCGCCGTCGCGTTTGCCTCACATCGGGTGAAGACAAATTTTAGTAAGATCAGCATTTTCTTCCTTCAATAGGCTTGCAACCTCAAGGGAATCCGTTTCAAGATAAATCTCAAATCCATTTGCATTATGCAAATTCCAAAGTCCGCCTTAGATTGTCACTATTTAGTTGTCATGTAAAGTTCTAAATAATTAAGAAAGTTGATTTCCATAAATATGTGAGTTATTAATGAAAATTTACGTAAATGAGTTTCGTTATTAAACTAGGAGATTATATGGTAAAATAATCATATTAAGAAAAGAGCATGAGATTAGATGTGAAAATGAGAATTGACCGGTTGATATTTGAAGTGGGTTCTCTTTGTATTCTTAAATTTATAGCAAATTACGTGAAAGATGTTTTGGGTCCTGGACAATATTCTTCGAGAGACGAAGACGATTCTTTGGCTCGAAAGCTCGATTGATTTTGATGAGTAAAAATGGGTGAATTTGGTTCAAAAAATGACCCAATGATTTAGGCTAAAAACAACTAAAATCGTATAAATAAATATCAATACAACATTTGTACGAAAACTGTGAACTCAAATAGAAAATCTAAAAATTAACATTTATGGAAAAAAAAATACCAACATTATGAATTAAAATTTAAATATTTGAAAGTTTAGATATTGATAGATAGAATAAGTTAGAAAATTTTCGCCCAAATTTTGTTTTGGGTACAACAAAAGTAATCCTACACAGGGACTACAGAAACACGAAAATCATCACCGTTGGATCATTTTACCGTGAAGCCCAAAGCGTAAATCCATCCGTTAAAAGGGCATCAGAGTCATAGCCCTTCAGATATACGGTGATGATGCGCATCAAATCCGTAGCATACGGAAATATCCGATCTGCGCGAGCGTAGACTGCTGCTCCTCCGATTCACAGCATTTGGAAAATATAAATCAAAAAAGGCTCCAAAATCTTTTTCCTTTCATAAAAAACACAGACTGTTTCCTTTTCCCTCTCACTCGCGCGCTTCCTCCTCTGACGCCACAGGCAGAGGACAGCGCCGGGCCATTCTGCTCATCTCTCGCCCAATTTTCTCTCTGAAAACCCTAAACGAAGCCCCGCTTTCTTCAGGTTACTCTGCTTCCTCTATTTTTTGTTTTTTTGATTGCTCTGTCTTCTCTGTTACTGCTATGGCATGCTTCTGTTTGACTTTGTTTTGACGCTTTTCTTTGCCTGCCGGTCTTCGTATTAGGCGGTAGCGATCCAGCTGCGGAGTTTCAGTGGTTTGTTCTTTGTGTATTTTGCTGCATTGTTCTCGAATGCGAAGGATATGTCCTTTTTTCATGCAGTACAGGACTGCGATTGTGTTTTTTTTTTTTTTTGTTTCTTTTCTGGTCGAATGTTTTGGTTTGTTAGATGGCTCTTTTGTTGTTGTATCGATTGATCAAACTCGGTTATCGCCATAGCGAGTTCTATTTCGTTTGAAACGCCCTAAAATTTGTTTGACTCGAGATGTTATAGCATTGTGAAGTTTAACAAGGCCATTGTGCGTACTCTATAAGTTATCGTACATTCATCCACTTGATTTTATTTAAATCCCTGTGCGTTTACTGCTCCAGGTTTCTTTTACATATAAAAGATGGTTAACATTACTAATGCCGGAGGGAATAGCGAGGCCTCACCTTTGCCTCTGGGGCCACCAGTACCTCCTAATATGAAGCTAGAAAAAGCTGTGCCTCCCAAGTATTCCATAATGAGTAGACGTGGTGTTGGAAGTAAAGGGAGACGCATACCTTTGCTCACTAACCACTTTAAAGTATCTGTTAATGCTCCGGATTTGATTTTCTACCAATATAGTGTATGCATTTTTACGATTTTTTTTCTTATTACATGCCTTATATTTTTTTGCCGCCACTCAGTTGGGCTTCACTTGGTGTTGTAGACTTAATATTGACTTTGGCTATAGGTTTCAATTAGTTATGAAGATAACAGACCTGTTGAAGGAAAGGGGATTGGGCGGAAACTGATGGATCAGCTCTATCAAACTTACTCTGCTGAACTTGCTAATAGAAGGTTTGCGTATGATGGAGAAAAAACTCTTTTCTCCATAGGTCCGCTGCCTCAAAACAAACTTGAGTTCACAGTGGTGCTTGAGGGATCATATGCAAAACTGTATGTCCATGTATCATTTCATATTCCTACTAAATACTTGTATTCTTTTCCTGCGTGGTATGACTTATAGTTACTTATATGACAGAGAGACTGGAAGCTCTGGTGGCAATGGGAGTCCAAATGGGATTGGGAAGAGGTCGAAGCGTAGTTTTCAGTTGAAGACTTTTAAGGTTGAGCTAAGTTTTGCTACAAAAATTCCGATGAAATCCATTTTTACTGCCCTAAAGGGATCAGAGGTTGATAATGGTAGCACTCAGGATGCATTGAGAGTGCTTGACATTATCCTGAGGCAGCAAGCAGCAAACCGGTAATTGGTGTCTACTGTGTCCCAACCCCTAACTCATATCTTCTGTTTGTTAACTATTATCTTGACAAAGTCCCGTTGATTATGCAGGGGATGTCTTTTGGTAAGGCAGTCATTCTTTCATGATGACTCAAGGAACTTTGTTGATGTTGGAGGTGGGGTCACTGGGGTACGAGGATTCCATTCCAGCTTCCGATTGGCACAGGATGGATTATCTTTGAATATGGGTAATATTTTAAATTTGTTTTTGTTAGTCTTTCGATTTATATTAGTCTTTGTATGTTATATACCATTCATCACCAATATGGCATCCTTTATATCATTTGCAGATGTTTCTACCACAATGATCCTGAAACCTGGACCGGTGATTGACTTCCTAATAGCCAATCAGAATGTACGTGAACCACGTTATATTGATTGGGCGAAGGTACATAACTGACAAGTACATTATTCAGTTTTTTATTTTGGTGCTGCACCTATTTTCTCTCTGACATCTCTTTTATCATTGTTTCTGGTATTCTTCAGGCCAAAAGAATGTTGAAAAATTTGAGGGTCAAGGCAAGACATCGGAACATGGAATTTAAAATCATTGGTTTAAGTGAAAAGCCTTGTAACCAACAATTGTATGTCATTGCTGCACGAAACAATTTTGAAGGAGAATTTCTACTACCTTTTGTTATTGATAGCTTCTAACCTTCATGTTTGCTTTTGTCCTAGCTTTTCCATGAAACTGAAGAATAACAGCAGTACAGACGAACAGATGGTTGATATTACTGTGCATGAGTATTTTGTTAGACATTGCGGCATCGAATTGACTTATTCTGCTTATCTGCCCTGTCTAGATGTTGGGAAACCTAAACGGCCGAATTATTTGCCCTTAGAGGTTCGGAAAAAATGTTGTGCTTAAAAGTAATTATTGCTCTTTCATGATGATTGTATTTTAAAGGCTTTTAACGTTATTTCTTCTTTTTGGGCTCTTTTAGTTGTGTTCTCTTGTTTCACTTCAACGGTACACAAAAGCTTTGTCTTCAATACAAAGAGCATCATTGGTAGAGAAATCAAGGCAGAAGCCTCAGGAAAAAATAAGAATTGTCACCGATGTAAGTTTTACTCAAAATCTGAATTCATATAAGCTTAATTTTTAATACGCGTTGATTTACAAAGATGTTATCTGGTAGGCTTTGAAAAATTATCGATATGATGAGGATCCAGTGCTAGCTCAATGTGTGCTAAAGATAGATAAACAACTGACACAGCTTGAAGGACGTGTACTTGAATCTCCAAAGGTGACTAATTGACTATGCTTTGGTGGATGAGAGATTTTCAGGGTCATCCTTGTTTCAACAATCTTTTGTTCTGCCTTAATGACTTCAGTTCTGATTTTCAGTTGAAGGTTGGTAAAAGTGATGATTGTATCCCTCGTAATGGACGATGGAACTTTAATAACAAGGTAAACCTGTGTAATTATAGACAGAAATGCGATATTATTAGAAGTACATGAATTACTTTCATTAATCTTATGGTTGTTTTCGTATTTGATGTAGCACAATTTCTTTCCTTTTGCAGACACTTCTGAACCCCACTCGCATTGACCGCTGGGTTGTGGTCAATTTCTCTGCACGCTGTGATACTAGCTTCATATCACGTGAACTTATCAATTGTGGAAGAAATAAAGGCATTGTAGGTTTAGTACACCATGCATTATGTTATTGCATCAAATATCGATCGTTTATATTGCTCTTATATATGCATATACTGCATGCCTTGACCAAATAATTCTTTTTATGGCTTTGTCTTATTGGACTCTCGTACATGTGTATATTTGCAGCATATTGAAAGACCATGTACATTGATCGAGGAAGACCAGCATTCTAGAAGGGCCAGCCCTGTTGATAGGGTCGAGAATATGTTCGAACAGATTATAACAAAGCTGCCTGACAAACCACCATCTTTTATTCTTTGTGTTCTCCCAGAAAAGAAAAATTCAAATATTTATGGTCTGCATTTTCTTTCCCACTCCCTAACTATTTAATTTCTTCACATTCTTCACATTCTTCACATTCATTCATTATGTTTTCATTTAGGCTGTTACATTGGAAAAGGAACCTGGAAGAAGTGTCCATGTGACTTGGGCACTGCTAACTCTGCATTTTGCGCTCATTTAATTTTTTAAGTTATATTTTGTTAGATTGTTCTTGCTTAAGCAATTCATCCTCTCTTTGTTTTGCATTGTAAAAGGACCTTGGAAGAAGAAGTGTCTATGTGACTTTGGGATCGCTACACAGTGCATTTCTCCAACTAAAATTAATGATCAGTATATTACTAATGTACTTCTTAAGATTAACTCTAAGGTAAAAGTTAAATTTTATGCAGTCTCTATTCAGAGAATGATTTTTTATGTTAGGTTCCTTTTGCTTATGCATTTTACTTTATTTTTAGCTCGGTGGTATAAACTCATTGTTGGCTATAGAGCATGCATCTTGTGTTCCATTGATCAAAGATACTCCAACGTTGATCTTGGGAATGGATGTCTCCCATGGGTCTCCTGGACGATCAGATGTTCCATCAATTGCTGCAGTAACAAAACTTTTTGTTTCTTGTTATCTGATGTTAACTTATTTAGCTGGACAATTGGTGGTTAGTATTGATTTTGGATCTCTTAGGTTGTTGGATCCAGATCCTGGCCTTTAATATCACGGTACAGAGCAGCAGTAAGGACCCAGTCGCCTAAGGTGGAAATGATTGATGGATTATTTAAGCCTCTGGAAGGTGACCAGGATGATGGTATCATTAGGTATTTGTCATTTACAATTAACAACTTTCAGCTGGAAGACTTTCAATGTTCTTTTTGTTTACTGAATTTGCACCATACCTTATTTTTGTAACTTAAAGTATCTTAGAATTTTCAATCATAAATCTCAGAGAGGTCTACTGAATTTTTTGGTTAAATTTATCATACTGTTTTGTCTTAGTTTCTGTAATAATACCCCTTATACAAGTTCTAGGTATAGTGGGAAATATTTTACTAATAAGATACTCTCGTCTCTTCTGATTCAGGGAATTGCTTTTGGATTTCTATAGTACTAGCAATGGGCGCAAGCCAACTCAGATCATTTTATTTAGGTAAAACCTTGATGGTTGAATTGTTAGTTGATAATCACGTCTGTCCATTTCGTTTTTTGACTCCCACCCTTACTGTGATTTTAATTTTATTCTCAGAGACGGTGTTAGTGAATCCCAATTTAATCAAGTTTTGAACATTGAGTTGGATCAAATAGTCAAGGTACTTCAAACCTTCAGCTATATTCCCTAATACCTCTGAACTTCACCGTCTATTATATTTATAATTTAATCAAGGTATGGCCCATCATGCTTTTTGTTTATGCATCTTATCATGTTACTAAGATGATCTACGGAAGAAATATTTTCTATAGTTTTTAAACTCATAGTTCTTTTAATGACATTATCTTAAGTGCGCTGAAAAGTGAAAACTTCCAAGAACATTGATGACATTTTAGTCACTGTTTGAAGTTAGCAACCTTTTCACCATGGGCATGTAATGAATTTGGTTATCCTTGGATTAATTGTCATGGTAATTCCAGATAATGAGATGATCATTCCACTGCAGGCTTATCAACATCTTGGTGAGGCTAATGTTCCCAAGTTCACAGTTATTGTGGGGCAAAAAAATCACCATACAAAGTTTTTTCAAGCTGGTGCCCCTGAAAATGTTCCACCTGGTCTGTTACTATTATTCGCTTTTTAATTTGTTCATTAACATTCACTTCATTCCAGTGGTGCTGATGCGCTATTTCTCTAGGAACGGTTGTTGACACCAAAGTTGTACATCCAAGAAATTATGACTTCTACATGTGTGCTCATGCAGGAATGATCGTAAGTTTTTCATTATCAGTAGTAATATGTTGCAATATGTAAATAACAATAACCCCTACTCATTATATGGTTTGTTCTTTATAAGTGAAGGCGTTCCCGCAAGTAGCTAAGGTAAGCAAAGCTCTGCTATTTTATTTTTATTTCTAATTTTGGCTGTTGTACTAATAACAGGGCACATCAAGGCCGGCACACTATCATGTCTTGGTCGATGAAATCGGTTTTTCTCCTGATGATCTTCAAAATCTTATTCATTCGCTATCATATGTGTAAGTATAAAATTCTTAGTATTTTACCATCGCTTTTATAAAATTTCTCATTGCAAGTCATTAATATAGTGTATTTTTACGGATCTTGATATTTTCTACAGGTATCAAAGGAGCACAACTGCACTCTCAATCGGTAATTTGGTTATTCGTGATTTATTTTTTGAAATTCTCAACTCAATCTAACCTTTACTCCCCTTTCGTGATCCAACTGTTACTCATTCCCATTCATTTTTCAGTTGCACCAATATGTTATGCGCACCTTGCTGCGTCGCAGATGAGCCAGTTTATTAAGTTTGAGGATCTATCAGAAACCTCTTCAGAACGAGGAACCGTTACCTCCGCAGGAAGTCTTTCGATTCCAGAGCTTCCACGGTTGGACAAAAAAGTTGCTGGTTCTATGTTTTTCTGCTGAGGCGGTGTTTATTCTCAACTTCAGGTACATATGGCTTATTTTTTAGTAGCCTAGGATATTTTGTGTAGACACAGCAGCAAATCAGGAGCAAATATATATAGGAAACCAACTTAGAAGCTGGTAGCACGATGAGATAGAGATAGGTCAATAGAGAAACGTATATAGCAGTAATCTTCCAAATCTGAATTTTGTGGACAAGATGCTCACTGACGTTGCTGGGTAGCATTCTTGTCCCGTTAGATTAGTCACATAGATTATTATCTTAATTTTGACTATAATAGCACACTTGTTTTCCTGGGTAGGCCTATTTTTTGAGTTGACTTGTGTATTTGAGAACCCGCTCTGCTACTTACAATCCTAATTTTACTTCTTTTTAAAGCAATTTTCTGCTAGAATTCATAAGTTGCATTTTTCTCTTTTTTTTGGGAGTTCAACACCATGTGGGAGTGAGAATTCGAACTTTTGATTTTTTAGTCATGTCATAACCAGTCAAGTTATGCTCATGCTGGCAATTTTCATAGCCTTTTAGATGTCTTATGGGTTTGCTTTCAGATTTTAATAGCCCACAAAATTCAACTATATAGAAGGTTTTAAAATTCAACAAACTAGCTATTTTATGGGGTATTTGGCTGGAAATGAATCATAGATAGTTTAGGGGTGGAAAAGTCTGTGGACTATGTTCGGGATATCGTTAGATTTAATACTTCGTTATGTGGCTTGATTTCTAAGCCCCTTTGTAATTATCATTCTTTTGGATTGAAGTCTTTTTCTTTAGGGGGCGTTCTATATGCTCTTTCTGCAGGCTGTTTTTGTAGTTATTGTATCTTTTTTCATTATTCTCAATGAAAGTGTCGTTTCTTGTAAAAAAAATCAACAAACTATTCATGATTTGAGTTTTGGTAAGAGCCTGAGGCAACAATTTCTGTTGGGCAATTTGTTTGTCCAAATAATGGTCAATTGGGAAGCGTAAATTATTGGTTTCTTGACTAACATTTGCCTCCACCACAATTTTCCTGGTATGTCTGCAACCACCTCCAAGTCGCCATCTGCTTGTATGTACGGAGAATGGCGTGATGAGCATTCAATTGCCATTCTCCATATAATTTTGATTAGGCTTCTGTACAAGCTGTCTACTTGAGATTCTTCAATTTTTTTAGGGCGTTACATCCCAAGTATTGTTTTCCATTTATATATATTTTTAAGAGAGTTTGAAATGCTATAACTATTGAACTAAGTTGGAATTGATTAGGTTTACTAATTACTATAGTGCTTATAATTTTAAAATGTCATTTTATCATTTCTTTAGGTCCTTAAAAAGGATGTCTTTGCCATTCGCCAAATTTGTATAGTTGTAACGAAAGTCTAACTTGATTCTCGAGAGCGTTGAAGCTTTACATAATAAGGTATAGGATGATTTTGGGTCTTAGGAAAAGATCTGAACTTGGTAAGATGTATCATTTTTTACCTTTTAAATTTATTGAATTTCACTTTAAACTTTGATAAGTTGTGTATTTTTTACCTCGAATTTTAATAAGTGTAGCAATTTTAACTCTCTAATAAAGTTTTCATTTGAAAATTTGTTGAAAAATGTAGTTACATACATGCCAAATTAATTATGAAACATATAGGTTTGAATTGATGAGATTAAGATCTAATGTTTCATTTTTGTTTTGTTGAAATTTGTAAGTTTTGCTAGTCTTATTCCATGATTAATTTTGTGCAAGATATGATTTTTATTAAATTGGTAAGTTTTTAGAGTTTTTTACATTAGTTTCTTTCTTTGGGATCAAAATTAGTGAGGGAATTAGTGGAAATTGAATAGAAGTTAAAAATTACAATATTTTTCTAAGTTTAAGTTTAATCGGATGAAATTGAAAGTATAGAGATAAAAAACGATTTTTTCTAAAATTTTTGTACAACTTTGTTACCTTTTTGGTGGAGTTTCTATTCTATAGAAGCGATTTCTTGAAACGATTCCAACGGGGTTAAAATTGTACTTATCAATTTCTTGTGTTTCTTTAACTTTAACTTTAACCTCTGATCAAAGATGTTTTTAAGGTTAATAGTGTGTGATAAAAAGTACCTTTTTTTTTTTTTGTTTTTATCATACTTTGAATTCAGTCCAAATTATGTGTTGAACATTTGATAAAGATTCTGAATGATGGTTGTAAAGCTGGACACGAGGAGTTGGTTATTTTCTTTAAAAACCCTCTTTAAATTCTCAAACCAATGCATCTTAGTAGCCTTAGTCGTACGTTTTTCTTAACACGGATGAGATTCGCCCAAACTATTGCCATTTTTACTCGACTTTGAGAAGAAAAAAGGGTTAAATTTATAAATTTGATTTCCAGGTTGAAGTTTAAGTTTCAATTTGGTTTTTATAATTTTAAAAGTTTTAATCTATTGGTTCGAGCCAAATTAGAAACTTTGGATTCATTGTTGGATAAATTAATGATGGAGAGACTAAATTGATATTAAACCAGCTAATCTGACATATAATTCAAGAGGTTGTGAGTTTCAATGTTTCGGTCTCTACATGTTGTTATATATAAAAAAATTAAATTTAGACTGATAACGATTAAATCAAAGACCAACTTGAATTATATGATCAAATTATAATTTAATCAAATATGTTGTTGAACGGTTGCTCATTTGCTTTGACTATTATATGCTCAAGAAAACCTTATCCATTTATTTAATGAGACTCCCATTGACGTTGGGGGAGATGAAAAAACTTATAATTTGAAGTCCAAATCCAATTTCAAACTTACCGGCTGGCAAAACTCAATTTGGTTAAAAAGTCATATTTTGGCCAAATATCTTGATTTGTCTATGAACACAAAAACGTAAAGAACTCTCTAATCTCTGTACAAAACTTGCAAGCAAATACATTTTCACATCAATACATATTGTAATCGTGCTACAGTAGTGATAATTATAATAACAATCTGCTTCCACCTAAAAAGTTTGACCTTTTACCTCACTTTCAATAGTTTCAATGGGTTTGATTTTGTAACTGTGGATTAAGTCATCTATTTTTTCTCTAATTTAGATAATGGATACCTGCTAATTTTAACTTATAGGTCACGGAGTTTGAGTACAATATTGTGGGAGTGGGGGTTCGAATTCGTGACCTTTTGCTCAGAGATAAGTGCCTTAACCATTTGAGCTATATTTGATTTGGTTACATGATATGCACCATGGTTACATAATAGACTTAGACGAATCGTGGCGTATATGTTAAATTGGGGTAAATGATAATATTAGACACAATTGAAAGTTTAGAAATCTTTTTAAAGTAGGAAAATTAAATAGAGGAATATATTAAAATTATTTTAAATTATATTAACTAAATAAACACATGAATATAAAGTTCTGGTATCAAACTTATAATTCAACATCTAGTTCTTTTCTTTGAATTACAAAACACTAATATTATATAAGTTCATCCTAACAATTCAAAGATATTTTTTCTAAAATGAATTAGTTATATAGTCAATTATTGTTGGCACTTTAATTTCCAACCAACAATTTTGACCATCTTTTTCCATATTCTCTCTTTCAAACCTTGTTAGAGAGAGAAGAGAGAGTGTTTAAAAAATTATAAATCTTTAAAGTCCAAAATTACCATCTTATGATATATATGTTTAAATAAAAAATTAACATTAATTTTCTAGGTTTAGTTGTTCTATTTTGTTCACATAGATTAATAGTTTTATGAACATATTAGATTTTGAGACATGCTCGAATAAAACCAGACAGACAAAGTTCAAGCTAGTACTAGGTGTACTACTCCATTTACGACAATATAAACATTGAATGCGACATGTCGGACTACAACCCCTATTATACATAGATAAAATAAGATCTAAAAAGAGAAAAATTAAAGAGGGTAAATAGGTAATGTGCAAATTCCAACCTCATTTTCGTACCCACCCTTCCTAGATGTAGAAATATAAGAAGGAAATGCCTTCTCCATCGAAAGAAGTGATATTTTTCGTTGATACAACATAAAAAATTTACCAGATTTACTTATGTAGAGGCAATCAGGAAAGCCGCATAAATAAATATATAACCTACAAAAAAGTGGGCCAATCCAACCAATCTTGGACAATGGAAAGAGCCACAAGTTTATATCTCCATCGAATCAAATTAGCCGAAGGTGTGCGTTCGGATTTGAACTCCACTAGCCAAACCTTCCTTGAAATATCAAAAAGTAAAATCATGCAAATTTAGGTCTAAGATTAAAATAGATTTTTTTTGTCGCGGTGTGTTTTTAATCATGTGACCTTTGTACTCTTAAAAAGTAACATTTTTAGTCCTTGTATGTTTAGTCCTAACAAAAAAATTATGTACGCAATGAAAAGTGAAATAAACTGATACTTTTTTTTGGCAAAACTAACGAACATGTATTATTAAAGATAAAAATAATATAATATTATTTAATATTATCACGTCATTAAAAACCAATAATCTTAAAATGGTTTTGAATGATTCAATTGTTTAAAAATGTACCTAAGTTAAGTTGGTCCAAACACCCACCGTTAATTTTTTATTTAAAAAAAAGTGAAAAAATTCAGACCAAACAGATTCTTTCTTCCACAAATCACAACATTGGATGCTTTTAAAATAAAAATAAAAAAGTGGGTGCATGCAATAATAATAATAATATAAAATAAATAAAAATATGTCCTTTTCCAATATAAACCACATCTTCAACTGACAAATCAGAATCAGAGAATTATAATTATAATTATAATCTGCATACCAATTATTTTATCACAAAATGTTGAAGAAAAAGACACATTTATAATTTAAACAAAACCAAAGACGAGGCGCAAAGCCCTCGCACTCTCATCATTAAGCGACAACGTACTGCCACTTTTTTGTCTCAGCATATTCCTGAGAATGTCCATTTCCAACTATTCCCCAAACTTCATTTCTCAAACCCTAAAACCCATCCCCTTCTTTTATTAACTTTTTCGGTTTGGATTTTTCCTTTTCACGAGTCAAGATCGAAACGTCAATAAATATTCTGTAGATGATGATTCAAAGGAGCCGTTGAAATAATCTCAAACCTCATAATTTCTCAACTCACTCCAATATCTGCACGATACCTCTATAGACAGTAGAGTTGAACAAATCTAAATTCAACTCGATGATGTCCAGTAAACATGATAGAAGATATGTTTTTTTTTTATTGGATGAATAACTGGTGGGGTTTCCACTATTGTTTATAATTGGTCCAACTATGATTATACCATTGAAAAATTACACATAAATAGAATTTTTTTTTTCTTGCAATTCTTTATTTTGTATCGCATCAATATATTTAGGAATGCTTTAGAAAAACCTTTAGAGGATTCTAATTAAATTAATTTGTCATGTTTTATATATATTATATTACTTGTTAATCTCTAACTATAATAATCTACGAGAGTTGTTTTATCAACTCAATGATAATTGGTACATACTATTTTCTTCGAGGTCAGAGATTCGATTCCCATATCCTAAATTGTTGTATTAAAAAAAACAATTAAAATATCAACAACTTTTCATATAGGTTAAATGTTGGAATTTCCACTCTCCTAGGTTTTAATGTTAATATATAAATATATGGTCGGTAAATCTAGCTCAATATTATTTTATGTATTTTTTCTAACACAACATGTGGAGTGGGAGATCGAACTTACAATCCTAGAGATATATGTCAATTACCATTGAATTATGCTCTTTTGGTATACTTTATGTATTTTTCTCTCCTACACTTTTTTTTTCCTTTTTGACGGATTCTCATACGCATTGAAACTTTAATAGTGGTTCGTGAAAGATGATTACGGATCAGTCAATACCTAAATATTATTTATTATAAAGTTTATATATATATAAAAATTTGATGAATATTATTTTTAAAATTTGAAAAAGATGAGAGTTTTGCAGTATAAAAAGAGGGGTTAAGAAGTGGCAATTCCCGATATAACCACCTTACTTGGTCCACCCATTCGCTCTTTTTCAACTGTCGAAAGAGTTTCCGAATAAAGTGAAATAAAAAGTGTTGCCGGAATCGGAAGAACAAACCCGAATCCCACCGCCGCCGCCGCCCCAATCTCTCCTCCGATTCCGATCTCCATTCTTCCACTTCACTTTATTCCTCTTTCACTCCGCCATGACACTCGACCACCTCTCCGTCTCCGGCCAGATATGCAGTTCCATCGAAGCCGATGATTCCGACCA